ATATTTTTCCTTTACATTTTCAGGAACTTCAGGTAAAATTTCAAACCAAATTATCTGAAAATTGGAAGAAAAATATTTACGAATTATTTTCAAATTGTTATAGAGGAGCCCTAGACCATGGTAACAGTAGGAGGACAAGGGGAAAACGGGAAACAGGCTAAAATACACAATTAAAAAACACCGAGAAGTTCCGACTCAAAACTGAGTCATTTTCAGTCGGAAATACGATAAAATTATTTAAAAAAAAAACTTTTGGTTTTTTATCATTTTTCTCAGATCCCGGCTCCCACCATGTAGGGCTCAGGTTTTCATCGTTTTTTTAAAATTTTTATTGTATTTCCGACTGAAAATGACTCAGTTTTGAGTCGAAACGTCTCTGTGTTTTTTAATTGTGTATTTTAGCCTTATTTTCCGTTTCCCCCTTGCTCTTCAACTGTTACCATTGTCTAGGGCTGCTCCATAAAAATTTGAAAATAATTCGTAAATATTTTCCTTCCAATCTCCAGATAATTTGGTTCGCAATTTTGCCTAAAGTTCCTGAAAATGTAAAGGAAAAATATTCGTAGCTTTCCTAAAGGACCAAGAAACATCTCTGTATTTTTTAATTGTGTATTTTAGACTTGTTTCCCGTTTTCCCCCATGTTTTTCTACTGTTTTACGAATTTTCCCGATATTTCGTGATTTACTGAGGGAAATTCGGCAACGCCCGATGGTTCATACGGCGTTTCTCGCTGAAAGGGATCGCTTAGCGCGGAGTTTGAAGACTCAGCGGGTGCTTTTTGTCCGTGGCAGACGCAGGGTCCTGAGACAGGGACGAGATGATAGAATTGAAATGTTTGTCAAGCGAGAGGATTCGAGCCTTGTCTTGTTCTTGTCGCCGTTCCGAAGACTTCGGAGGCACGTGGTGAGCAGGAGCACGTGGCTTTTTCACAACTACCACGTGAGGACTACACGTGTAGCTGTAGGGGCTCTTTGTGCGCCTCCTGGCTCGATTGTGAGCGCTGAAATCTGAAATCGAGTCGCGAACACTGTCGTTTTCCAAGCCTCCCGTTTTCCGGATAATTATCCGGAATCAGGACATTTCTTCCTTTCCGGAAATTCCACCGGATGATTAGCAAATCGAGAATTTGTCCTCAAGATTTACAAATTGAAAATTTTGCCTCAAGATTTGTAAATAAAGAATTTTTCCGGAAGATTTGCAAATCAAGAACTTTTCTGGAAGATTGTGAACAATTGAACATTTTCCCGAGTTGCATACTCTAACCCCCGAAAAATATGGAATATTTCCCAGCCTCGTGAAATTTCATGAAATATTTCACGGAAATTTCCAATCTTCCATATTTTTCATTTTTCCCGTGTAACCCTAACAATATAATCAACCCTGCCTCTCCTCCAATAAGGGTCGTATTCATAGTCGCTCCTTAAAGAGCTTCTTTCCGTAGCACGCTCCATACTATTTACATTGTAATTTTTAAAAAGGGAGTTTTCAGGGAGTTTCAAGGAGATTCTTAACGAATTATCATGAAAAGGACAATTTTTGGCTGCCTCGAGTAAAATTAAGCAAATTATCAAAGTTGTACCTTTGATAATGGGTCACAAAAGGGATTACAATGATTTTTCACTATAAAAATTACAAATGCATTGTATAACTGCTGGAAGTCACTTAGGGTGGTGTTCATAGTCTTACCTTAAACAGCTCCTTTTCCCAGGAGGCCTCACGTGCTTAATATTGTGATTGAGGAATGTTCAAGCAGATCCTTAATAATGCATCATAAGGAGGAAAATTGTTGCCAACTTTGCAGCAGTATAACTTTGAAAATGGATCCTTGCAAGGGATTGCACTAATTTGCTTCTAAAATCAGTACAAAATACGAAAGAAAATATGCCCGGAGTTTTGAAATTTTTAAGGTACCTTTAAACAACGTTACATTTTGCAAAACGTAGAGGATTTTTCCTCTTATATTTTGTATTTTTTGTGATTTATAACCCTTTGCAAAGATCCATTTCCAAAGTTTCATTGCTCAATTTGACTGAAAGTTGGCAAAAATGGCCGTAGAATTGGGTCCTTGTGAGGAATTACGATGATTAATCACTGCAAAAAGGACGAAATAAAAACAGAAATAAGTTGCGAGTTTTGCAAATTTTAAGGTACGTTCGCACTTAACTTGGGTTTCGTCAAAATTATGAAAAATTTTTCTTTCGTATTTTGTAATTTTTGCGGTGGTAAATCATTTTAATCCCTTTTCAACGACCCAATTCAAGAGCTATACCCCTGAATTCTGCGCGAGGTTAGCAAAAATTGTCCTATGATGCTATGCTGAGGATCTCCTTGAGCCCCTAATCACTTCGTAAACCATACGAGGCCTCCCAAGAGTATGAGCTGTTGCAGGCAATGATCTGAAAACTACCGTCAGTGATTTCGAGCAATGTTACAATGTTATATCTGATGTTAGTTTACCGATGTAAATCAGTTGAGAAAGAAAAGCAAGATTTAGAACAAAACAATTTTAATTCAACTAAATATCACATACAGATTTCAATTACATCACATTTAAAGTTTTTGGTGGTAGTTGTGACACAGGTTCAATGTATATAAGTGTAATAAGGCATTGTGAAATGAACGAAGGAAGGTTTAAGAAAAAATTGCAGTTGTTTTCACTAGGTATAAAAAGGCATCGTGAATTGAACAGGAGGTGGACAGAAATGCAGTTGTTTTTGGTAGTTGCCCCCAACAATATTTTTTTAAAAAAAGGAATACATTCATTGCACATTTCAAAACTCAGGATGTAAAGTCCCAATTCAGTACTTTCTTAAAAAAAACAAAAACAACCGAACAAATAAACGAAAGAAAATTGTCCCTTAATCGCATTTCATTGGTTTCTACGCCCTTATACTTTAACAAATTATGACACTATTCCTCAAATCATCAACAAGTTTGTGAAAAGTCTTATTATCAATCCAAGCAAGCAATGTAGGTTTTAAATTCCTACAAATTACAAACATCTTTGGTTTTTTTGCGGTACACATTCTAAACTTTATTCTCAAAATGTTCTCTTTAGAATGAATGGATACTAAAACGAGTTTTCGAAGTCAGTCAAACTATTAGATATCATAGGTTGAAACCAATTCCAAAGTTAGTTGGGTTTTCCTTGTCAACCAAAATTTGAATATTAGATGAAGGAATGATATGTGATTCTAGTACCTAATGATCTTATTTTTCAATGCAAACATTCAGTTTCAGCGTAAACATAGAACAACTATGTAAAACATAATATAGGAGTCATATTGAACTGCGTCTCCCTTTCTCTGGAATTCTCACGCGGAAATCCGTTTGGTAAGAGTTTTCGGGATTATGACGCTTAAAACATTTTCTATTTTATGTTATTGCACATTCAAATTTTCAACCAAAAAAACATCGTCTTTTTGACGGAAACTGACAGTTGAAAATTCTGTCTGAAGGACATCTTCCTTACAGGTCACATCGTGCGTTAGGAAATTTTCTACAGACTTAATTGTATCTAATTATTATTTATGAACATTTAATACTTTGAACCACAGGCATAATGGTTGGCACGTACCATACGGTTTGTTTTCGGGGTCGACCTGGCCTCCCACTATCTTACGGGGAGTCTCAATTCGCAAATTCAAGGCGAACTTGCGAGCTGATGATTGAAACTGACAAACAAAGCGATAGACGAGTACACTAAGGGACAATACAGTTATCCCCTTTATAACAGGGACCGGGTGCAATGGACGAAGGAGGTAAGTCATAGATTAAGTAATGGCAACCCATGGAAAACCTCATATTTAGTTCATCATTTCATCCCGTAGTCTATAAGGACCTTCCACCAATAGAATCGCTTCATTTCTTATTTGTCTATCGCTTCGTCTATAAATTGTTTTAATCAGCCCGTTGGCCCATTTTACAGGACTCACCGAAAAAAGTGAAGTTCATTCAACGTTATTGGTGTAAAAATAACGTGTGCGAAAACTTAAAACACGCTGAAATACACACAATGAACACAGCAGTTAGTTCTACATCTCAGCATTGCTAACGTAACACGCTGAGTTACCCACCACAGCAGTTAGTTCTACATCTTGGCGTTGCTAACGTAACTGCTGTAGTGGGTAATTCATGCATGTTTCAAGTTCTCGAACGCTTTTTTAACATCTAGAATATTAAATGGACCGTGTGTGCCAGAAAGGAACCAAGCCACGTCAGCAATTTCCAAACGTAACTATATTATTTAATTGTTTAACAGAGAACGTTTGTGTGGATTCCTTTAAAAATGTTAAAGAATTTGCTTCGTACTAAGCAGAAAATTCACTGAAATTTGCACAAAAATCCGCACAACCGGTTTCATGTAAGAAATTGACAGTATGTTGGAGTTTTTTGCCAACGTGCGTTTCAACATTCAGCATAAAGCTGAAAATCTCAATACAGGGGGAAAAAGCTCACATGAACACAGTTTCCCCCAAAGAGATATGCTGTTTGGTGCAACACTAGTTACGTCCATTCAGGAAAGCAACTGCAGACGCGTTTTGGCCTATTTGGGCCAATTTTCAGTGTAGTATGGACGCACGGCATAAGACAGCATATCTATTTAATGGAAAACTGTGCTCATGTGAGTTTTTTCCCTCTGTATTGAGGTTTTCAGCTTCGTGCTGATTTTTTAAACGCACGTCGGCAAAAATCTTCAACATACCGTCTTACAATGGAAAAAAAGTAGCTTGGATCTAGAGTCCAGACTCTTAAAAACATTGACAAGAAAAAATACTCTTGGTTCAATCGGATTTTTGCTTAAATTGAGAGCTAAGCTTCTTAATTTAAGCGGATTTCCTTTTGATTCAAGCAACAATCCGATTGATTCAAGAGTATTTTTTCTTGTAAATGTTTTCAAGAGTTTGGACTCTAGATCCAAGCCAATTTTTTTTTCCAGTGTACGACCCGTGCATCCACCGCAATCAGTTTATGTAAAAAATTGAATCGCCCAATTACATTTGGCAATAGCTCATGTGGCTAGATTCCTCTCTGCTTAACGCAGTCCACATCAACTTCACTTGTTTTTCGGTGCATCAATCGGGAACCCACCCCATCTACGCTACCGGTCCATGAAATACTGGGCGAGGGTCGCGGCGTACACCTGGAACTTGGCGTTGAACCGCGTCCGGTCGGCCTGCGCCAACTTCTCCTTCATCTCCTCGATGTCGACGGAGCCCCAGTCGACGTCCTTGTTGAAGTCCATCGTGTGGATGGGGAGGTACCAGGCGATGGCGAGGAGGGCGCCGCCGCTGATCCGGCGCAGCTCGCGGCGGAATGCCTCGCGCGTGGGCGGGTGGGCGATGTGCATCCGCTGGCACGCGGACAGGAACTCGGCCAGGTAGAACTCGAGGAGGTCGTCCAGGGAGGACGCGAACACCTCCACGTTGACCGATGTCCCCAGGAAGAGGAGGACGTCGACCAGGATCGAGCACTCGCGAACCGTTTGGAAGTCGATGAACTTGAAGTCGACCACCTTCCCGGACCCGGTGCCTGGAAACAGAGGAGCTTTGAGAATTCGCGGAAAAAGCGTTGTACATAGTTTAAAGTAGAGGACCTATATTGAGAGAGTATGGCCACTGGTGTTACCACCTCTGATTGGCTCAGCCATCTTAGGCTGAATGGAACCCTTAGGACCCAAAAATGGCGGACGCCATAAATTAATATAATGCAAAATGACTCAAAAAGTAGTTTTCTTTGCTTATCATAACGAGAAATTTACCCAAATACACTATTGCGACTTCTTTACATATTTTCAAGGCTAATCGTGTGCAAATTTTGAGAAAAATTGTCTTAGGTGTAGTAAGGTTGGCAGCAAGTGCGGTTGGTGAAAACCGTCAAAAGTTGGCAATGGCCCCCCCTCCCATCCACAAAAACCAAAACAAAGCACCGCAATTTTTGGGTCCTAAGCCTCTCCATGGGGCCCAGTGGCCATACTCTCTCAATATAGGTACTCTAGTTTAAAGACTCCAGCCCATCGATAATGGAGATGTTGCATGTGTGAGGAATTTGCGATTTGACTGTGGATTCTTACGTAAAAGTTCGCGAGAAACGCGATAGTGCTACTGGTTTTCCCTGAAATCATCTCTCAAGCTCAAAAACAGCTCTCAAGTTGAGGCCAAAATGGCCGGGGATATCCCACGCTATCCTGAGAGTCCACCTCTACATTATACAAACTCTCCATGCAAAGATAGGGAGCAAATACATTAGCAAGGTTGCCGTGTTTTCAGTTTCAAAGTCCCCAAATAAAGTGGCAGCCCTGTCAATGTATCTGCTCGCTATCTTTACAAGGAGAGTTTGTCTTTATGTAGAAGTGGACGCTCAGGATAGTGTGGGATATCCCCTCCATTTTGGCCTCAACTTGAGAGCTTTTTTTGAGCTTGGGAGGGTTATAGGACATTTCGTCAATGATTTTTTGTCCGCGCACCTGTTTTTTCCAATAATTTACGTCCACCCGTTTTTTCGGCACGGAGGTTTTTGTCCACGTGCCAGTTGCGACCCAAAGTTAATTGGTCCACATATAAATACAAACGACAATTGCTCACAACGTTTTCGGATGAAAATGTATAATGTCTCGGAAGAATGAGGGTTTGCTGTTTTTTTTTTGTTTTTGTTTTTTTGGTTGTTTTATCCAACGGAGAATAATATATAATTGAGATTTTTGGTAAAAATGATCGGACGTCAATTCCATTAGACAAAATTCACTAAAACTCTCTACACCTCTTTGGTGCAACAGGACCTAATTATCATTCAAGAAATACCCACCGTGTCATACCTGAACCGGATGAACCTCTTGATTTGCCTCAGCTAAAGGCTCTTAGATTTTTACTGTGCACGATAAGTATCTTGATTTATTTCGCGAGGAAAGATCTGTACTTTTAAAGGATGCCTGTCATTCTTAATACGTTCTATTTCGTACAATACTGTGCAACACTTCTGTTGTGAAATAGTTGCTTCAGGCGCCGCCGCACGGCGGGCGGGCGGTGAGCGCGAACCGCGCATTGGCGCCTACAAACCTAAGGGGATACTTCAAGCATTGTGCAATGCGTGAAGTATCCACTTAGGTTTGTAGGCGCCAGTGAGCCTCTCGCGCTGGCAGCACGCCGCTCCGTTCTGTTAGGCTCTAATATTTATACTCGTATAGTCAGCGTTTTTTAACTGATGATTTTGAAATGTTTGCACTCTCTGCATTGATTGTTCTCATTTAAAGTGATGAAAAAAATATATGTATCAATTTATCAAAGGAGAGTAATAATACAATATGTTTTTTTAAATATGGGTGGTTCCGTGTCAAATTTAATGATTTCCAAGGCTTTTTAATTTTTTATTTTACATGTTGTGCTTTTATTGTGCTGCAGCGAGGTGTACGCGCAACCAAACGCTCAAAATTTGACGTATTTGATTCTGAAAGATCGATGCACAAATGGGTTAAAAGTAAAGATTGCGTGCTTCTTGGTTTTTTTCCTATTTTATTCATTTTTACCGCTAATTGTGTGCTCTTTTCGAGAAAAATCATCTTAGAAGAGTACGATTGGCAGCAAGTGCGGTTGGTGATAACCGTTAAAAGTTGGCGATGAGTATTTCCCCTCCCATCCTCAAAAACCAAAACAAAGCGCCGCCAATTTTGAGCCCTAAGCCTCTTTACAGGGTCCAGTGACCATACTATATATGTAAAAGTGTTTGAACGAATTTTAGTATTTTTTGCTGATCTAGTCTGAAATCATCCAAACAAGATTCTCTGACTAGCGCGACTGACTAGTACGCGGAATTACTGATTGAAGTTATTGACTTTCCTAGTTGTTTTTATAATGTTTAATCCAGTGATTTTAATTTTATTTTTTATTCTATGTCTTATTTTTTCGAGAATTTTTCTTGTATTTATTGTTAACTCTTATTTTTATAGATTTTTATTATTTATGTTATTTATAGCCCTGTTTTTTTTTTTTATTAGCCCTGGATAGACGATCAAATTCCGAACCAATTCCGATCAAAGTAGATATGCTGATGACTGATGGTCATCATCTACCATCAAATTTTGACGGGCCGCACTATTTTTTTTCAAAGTGAGTGCCACAATTCATCATTTCCTGCCTCAGGAAACATCTCTGTCAAGTTTTCATTTTAAAATTAAGCAAATTAATGAGTTTGAGACTGATGACTCCCGACACTTTGATGGTAATTGGTTCGGGAATTCGATCGTCTATCGAGACCTTTGAACTTTATTATCCTCGGGCTTACCTTCATTGCGATAGAGGAACATCATGTTATCGAGTTTGGTGTCCCCGTGGATGAACAAGTTGAGCCCCTCGTCCTGGGCCTGGGCACTGAAGAACGAGAGGATTCCGTCGAATGTGAAGATGTCGTGGGCGCGAATATACTCGGCTATCTCCGTCAATCCACCGGCCGCAAGAGCGTCGAACGCGGGTAGGATGGTGCTGTCCGAGTATTGTCTGAAAGTGTCCAGCCACTGGAGCATGAAGGAGACCGGCATGGCTTTCGTCATGGTCGCGTATGACTCCGGCTTCTCGCGTTTCAGTTTCAGCGAGGACGCGTGGTAGCAAGCCAGTTTCTGGAAAATTCATATGAACCGTCAAATATTTTGTGGTGATCGTGTTGCGCTGGATTTGTCGTGAACAATTTCACTATATTTTGGAATGAGTAATTATACGACACTGGAAAAAAAACACATTGGATCTAGAGTCCAGACTCTTAAAAACATCGACAAGAAAAACTACTCTTGATTCAATCAGAATATAGCCTAACCAAGCCTCTTAATTTAAGCGGATTTCGTTTCGATTCAAGGAAAAATCCGATTGAATCAAAAGTATTTTTTCTTGTCAATTTTTTCAAGAGTCTGGACTCTGGATCCAATGTGTTTTTTTCCCCAGTGAATTTCTGGTTCATCTACAAAAACACCTAACTCGTCTTCTCCCGGCTGAAGTATCATAAGCGCCATGCGACGTTCCAAAAATTCCGCCGCCATTTTTTTTTTTTTACAGAGAAATTGTTGGTTGAATCTGTTTGAAAATTTCATTAAATTTTATCGGCAGCATAAAGAAATTTCAGTGAAGTTTTCGGACAGCTTCGTAGAACAATTCCTCTGTAAAATAATTAAATGGCGGCGGAAATTTTTAAACGTCGCATGGCGCTTGTGATACACTTTGGCCGTAAGGTGACGAACTGTGGAGGGAAAATTAAAGTAGAATTGGAGGAAAGAAACAGAGAGAGAAAACAGGAGAATAGGGGAGAAAAACAGGAGAGATTTTTTGGCAATATCCACAGGACTTTTCATAAACTCCTCTTGCCGGCTTGAAAAAATATGTAATACATTTTATTGATGGGAACATTCTCGTCGATTGTCCACTTTATTGTCAAAAACTACTTTATTAACGTCAAATAAAAAAAAATTCTTCCAATAATTAGGACAGTCTCCTGTACAATTTAAAAGCTTCTTACGAAAAAGAGCAAGAGAGAGTAAAGTAAACTCTGGAAAAGAATTTCGTGGCTCGCGAATATTAAGTTCTCATTTTTACTGAGAACACATCGATCTTAAGCCCGAAGAAACGTCGAAACTTGGAGGAAACTCAGCTTCGATTAAAAAGATGTTCAGGAATTAATTAGGGTATCTACAGGACTGGAAATGCTGAAAATTAAGGAAAGGTCAGGAGGAAAATTTATTCAAGCGAGCCTCGGGATCCCGCGAAAAAGACTGCAATTATTTCCTTTTGCTTGATTATTCTTGATTTTACGAGTTTTTGCGATCGTTGGAACGAAAGTATCGGAATATAATATACACTCTAATAATTGAGTTTTTCCTTAAACGCATCAGCCCTTAGCAAAAGAAAAACTCAGGGGTTACGTGTATGAAAATAACAGTCGTTTTGCGATATATCGATTGATCTACCATTTAAACCTATGGAAACGGATCGACAATCGCAACGCACGCCTCATTTATCGATTCTTTACCACAGATGCAAATGGGAAAATATCGATAATCGATCATTCCCGCTTTACCACGAAAATTTAGCGTCCTCTATTCTGCCGTGCTAAGGAAGAACGCCGTATGAGCCTTCAGACGTTGCCAAGTTTCCTTCGATAAAAAACTAATTTATTTGGAAAATTTTGGATATTTTTTTCCCAACTTTTCAGAAAATTTTGTATGGAATTCAATCAAAAGTATCTTAAAATTTCCAGGAAAAACATGCATTAATGTCGTCAAAAATACATATTTCATCAAGAGAAATTTGGCAACTCTCGAATGCTCATACGGAGTTTTTCCTCAGCACGGTAGTATTGCTCCCTTCTCGAGGCACATTGACAGATCGTCAATCGAGAAAGTCGAAATATATTTCGACTTAGGTAACCTACTTCTGGATGCATCGGTGAAAATGGGGCATCGTGATATCACTCTGAAGTTACAATGACATCTACCATGTGTGTCATAAAGCAGTTGTGCTGTCACTAAGATGTCCGCTGAACACTCTGCCATCACAGTGACATAATACTGACGTCTGAATGTTCGGACTCATGTCAGAGTGATACCAGAGTAGCATCACAATGATCTGTTCCATAAAGCATTGCGATGTCACGATGACAAGGTGTCCAGATGTTCCACTTCACGGAAAAACATCATATTGCTGATTTAACAGCTTCGTAGCTAAAAGAAGTTTCGGACATTTTTCAATGTGGATTTTATAATTTAAAAAAGCTAATTTAACCACCATGTTGTTGAATTAGCTTTCCATTAGTGCAAAATATACACTTAAAACATGTCGAACATATTTTTTAACGATTTAATTGTCAAATCAGCAATCCATATTTTTCGGTGTTCTACCAGGGTGGTGACAAATCCTCAAAGCCTCTAAAATGGACGTATTTCTGCCGAACGGAACTATAGACGAGGGAGAATGATGGGTTGTGCTCTAGAAAGCTGCATTAGGAACAATGTTGAAGTGGGCGAGATTCCCTTTGGAGAAATGGAAAAGCAGGATTTCACGTTCTGTCCAACGGAGCTATATGCCAACTGAATGCGACACTCGTGAGCCGTGGTCCTGGGCATGGCAGAAAAGCGTTGTGGACTGCGGGCTGATTGTTAAAATTGATTGACAAAGAAGACATGAGAAGTGTGGTGAGATCCTAATGCTTGAAAAGAGTGGTTCTTATAGACAAAGGGAGAGAATAATGGACAAGGAGAAAATTAAAACTAAATATCATAACAGCATAAAATCGATTAATGTAAAGGACTCGACAAATCGATAAAACAAAAACGTGTGTTGACAATTGCTGTAAAAAAATTTCAAAATCATGAGTTAAAAACGCTGACTCCGTAGGGTTGAATATTACAGCCAAACACAGTGCGGCTAGCGCGAACCGCGTATTAGCGCCTACAAGACTACAATGATACTTCAAGCATTGCGCGTTAGGTGCAATGCGTGAAGTATCCCTACAGTCTTGTGTCAAATTTTATGCGCAACACGTGAAGTATCCTCGCAGTCATTTAGGAGACAATATGCGTTTTGTGTTGGCATGACCGCAAGCCGCTCTGTGTTTGGCTCTAATTTACGAATTCACAGTATCATCGTTTTTCACTTCTTGATTTTGAAATGTTTCTACTCCCTCTATCGATTTTGTCCCTCAGGGAGAAAATGATGAACTGACTATAGGGTCTCCTGTGGGTTGCCGTTATTATTCTATTACCCACCTCATCTGTCCATTGCAAATACCCGTTTACACCGATTAGGATCCCTCCATATACTCTGTCTTCTTTATCTATAGCTTTGTCTACTAATTTCAACAATCAGCCTGCAGGGCTCGTGAGTTAAAACGGACCATGAGCGACAACGGAGACGGCTTCGTTGCCGCTGACGTCACTGGCGCTTCATAATTCCCATTCAATAGTCTTACGGTCCTGAACTAACGAGCACGCCCCTTATTTTTCACCTTCCTCCGCTTCTCTTCGGCAGATTTACGTCAAAATATCGTAGGTGGTGCCTAAAATATGGCTTCTTAGCCCCAATGCTCCTTAAGTTGCCTGAAACTCCTTAAATATATTTAATTTAGGTTATTTATACAGGTTTATTCTAAGCCTAGGACTACTAATTAAGATGGGCATATTTCCATTCCATTTTTGGTTTATTTAAAATCTGTAGAAAACTTGAATGAGTGAGATTTTTTATTTTATCTACTTTAATAAAATCAGTACCGTTGATTTTATTGTATTATTTATTCTTTATCACAAGATTTTTCTTTGATACAATTAGTTTAACAGTTTTTGGGGGTTTAATAGGATTAAATAACGATAATTTTCCATTCAAAAAATGATAGGTTACAGTTCTATAATTAATATTTGCTGATTTATCTACAGAATAAGAATTAGATTTAATCTTTTTTATTATTATTTTATAAGCTATATGTGCATGGAGAAAAAAACTTCGTGCGTGGGACCCAAAGTTTAGGTCATATGGATCTCTGAAGTTTTCGTATTGAGCATATAAACACTTTAGGTCCAGCTGCTGAGGTTTGGATCACACATCTGAAACTTCAGTTCTTACATCCGAAGTACTTCAGATGTGAGAACCGAAGTTTTTCGGATGTGAGAACCGAAGCTTTTCGGATGTGAAAACCGAAGTATTTCAGATGTAAGAACTGAAGTTTTAGATATGTGATCCAAACCTCAGCAACTGGACCTATACTGTTCAGATGCTCAATCCGAAAACTTCAGAGATCCATATGACCTAAACTTCGGGTCCCACGCACGAAGTTTTTTTCTCCGTGTGTGTACTCTGGTGATTAGTTGGAAACTTTAAGGAGTTGAAAATTGGGAGTGACTCACCTGAAGGACGAGTCGCGTAAGCTCGAGATCAGCCCCTGCGAACATGTCAGCGGTCTGATAGCCGGAGGTGACGAGGTTCTGGAGGAGGAGGTAATCTTCGGAGGCACCGTAGAAGGTGGGCCGTGGTAGTTCCTCCCCGGACGTTTGTTCCAGGGCCGGGAGCAAGCGTTCGTAGACGAACTTCTCGTTCCCGAACAGGCGCGCCAGCCCGCCCTCCAAAAAGGACGGATTGTCCAGACGCCGCTTGGCGAAGAAGGATACCTCGAACGGAGCATCTGTTGACAAGAAAATACGTTCGGAATGTGAAACGAATCCATATAATGGTTGGATAAATAGGGTAATCATATTATAGGAAAATGCTTTTGCTCTATTGTATTGCTCTTGGGGTGCAAGATGTAGGCAAGTGGACCAGTGTGAGTCGAGAAGGATGTGGTCGGGGCACGTTGACCGAATGGACGAAGAGAGACTAGCGAAAATTTGAATGACCGGACAATCCTCAGGGAAAAGATTACCTGGACGACCGCCTAAGAGATGGGCACAAAGCTGGCTCTCTTCTCCTGGGGATAATTGAAGATTTTATGATGTTTTTATTGATTTGACGAGTCCTTTATTTTAGTGATTTTTACATTTTCAATATTTATTTAGTTCATTGTGCTCCACACTGGATGGCCTGACAAATAGGACTTTGTTCTAGTCGTTAGTGGAAAAAAAGAAGAAGAAAAGGGGGAAGAAGAAGAAAAAGAAGAAGAAGGAGAAGGAGAAATCCTTGTGATTTGATTTGTTATTTTTGATCCACGTTGTGACCGGGAATAGAGGAGATACACAGTGCTCCCATTCCATGCCAATCAAAAGTTCCGAGATTCGGAAATTTTTTGTTCCGATTTCTTCCACGCTATGACTGTCAAAAGTTCCGGGATTCCTTTTAGATTTTTCAAATGTTCCGAGGAAGTTCCGGAGAATGCAAAAGATCCGGAACATTTCGGGAATTTCAAAAGTTCCGGAATTTGGAACTCGTTCCGGGAAATAGGAGCACTAGAGATACATGAGAGTGCGATTCTGAAGACCAACCTAACTAGCCAGAGGAAGCAAAATTGAATGCAGTTTTTATTCCTACAATGTCCAACCGGGGATGTTCCTTCAAATCATGAACACTACTAAGTTTTGATTTCTAATTCAAGTCTTCTCATAAAATATAATGAAACGCAAATGCAGGTTAAAGAGCAAAAATCCGTAGCTCGGTTCGGAACAGGTTAGCACCACCGCACACTGAACCGAAGCAATAGGAGAAGTCGGACAAAACTGGAAACTTTGAAAGCTTATATTTTCGAAAATATGAAACTAAACAGTGTAAGAGTAGTTCCATTGGTTTTTTCGTGAAATTTCCTTTCAGCGAAACCCTTTGAAATGGAATTAATGACGAAATAAACATAAAATTTTGAAATTTTAGCCAAAAATTTCATGTCCTACTTTTTGTATTAGTTCGTTCCACTGTCCACTGTTCGCTGTAACCTGGGAATGTTTCAGGAGCGTCAGAAAATTATCATAATAACTGTTCCGCGGACCGATAAAGAAGCTTCGATACCGTTTCGCGCGCGAGTCAGAACGCAAAGCGCATAATCAAAAAGTATTTGGGTACGCAGCGGGGAGGCATTCGCTTTTCGGTGGGTTGCATCAAAATTGAGAGAGAATTTGCCGAGCATGTTTGCACGTCCAAGAAGCGTCTTGTAAAACGTTCAGGAGAGTATACTATCGTGATAAAAAAGAACACCGTATGAGCTTTCTATCGTTGCCAAATTTCTCTCAGTAAAATATTCAGTTTTGAGAAAAGCCATGAGCGTTTTTCTTCAAACGCGTCACGCACATCACGGATAGAGTCCCAATGCCTCAGAATGTCTCCATTGAGACTGTAAGAGAGCATGGTATATTGGTCAAAAAGATAATTTTTTCTCCATAAATTTTGTGTCATAAGTGTTTCCAGTTGAAGTTATGACCGCTTAATTCTCGGAAAATCATCGCTCCATCTGAAGTTTGTCGAGTCTTGTGGATTAGCATCCATGAAAAAAGCTACACCAAAAAAATGTGGAGTTGACATAACATCCTGGATGTAAAAAAAGTGTGCGGGAACTTATAAACCGATACTTTACCTGCTACAGCAGTTACTTTTAGCTAGTACTTAGTTACTAGTACTTAGCAATGCGAAGATGTAAAACTAACGGATGTGGCGGTTAACTCAGCATTTTACAAGTTCTCGCACACTTTTTTTACATTCAGAATGTTAAATCAACTCACTTTTTTTCAGTGTATTTCCCATGTTTTTAGCCAGGATGGGCCCACAAAACGACCCTTGCCAATATCTTTTCTTTTGGTTGCATCCCTCCATATTACAGATTTGCGGATTTACCTACTCGAAAGAGCAATCGAAAAAAATGCACGAATATTAGACCTTAAAAGAGACCAAAAGTGTCCAAATTATGATGCATCCCGCAAAATATAAACCCCTATTTGGCACAAAATCGTAGAGTTGAGGAACTGAAGCGGGCTGATTGTCGAAATGGATAGACAAAGCTATAGACAAAGAAGACAAAAGGGACATGCATGAAGGGATCCTATCGGTGGAAGCGAGTGGTTGCAATGGAGAAAGAGGGTAGATATCAGACCGTTGCCTACGAGAATGGAGAGGCCGTAACTACGATTCTGTGACGTCACACTAGTAGATGAAACTCGGCCGCGGTTTAACACGCGTTCTTATGGGAGAACGCTTGCCGCGCGATGATTTCTCGCCGATATCTCTTTCAGGGTTGATCTGACGCAAAATTTCATAAGAACCGTTTAGAAAGAGGATGAAATTTCACTTTAGAAAACTAACTAGTTCATTTGTGACATTGTCTAAATATCGAGGAAATGAATGCGTAATACCGAAAATCGTTACTCCACTCAGATTCAAAGGGGCCGCTCGCGCAACTTCGGCCGATCGAGAGCCACTCTGATTGGTCCACGCAGCGACTGCCTCACTCATCGATGCACTGATGACCCGGAGATGCTTGTTGTTTTCGGTAAATATCTACTAGCTTGACGTCACAGAACTGACTAGTTACGGCCTCTCCATTCTCGTAGGCAACGATCAGACTAACTAACGGCAACTCACGAGAAACCCGACAGTTAGTCCATAATTTTCTCCTTTAGTCTATGGGAACCAACCATTTCAATCAATGGAATCGCGTTCATACTCCCTGTGTCTTCTTTATCTATCACTTTGTCTATTAATTTTAAAAGTCAGTCCGCAGCCAGTGTGGTCCAAAAATAGCCCCCATCGACGGCACCCACGCGATAATCTATAGTCTGTTAGTCCATAATTTTCTCCCTTAGTCTATAGGAACCAATCTTTCCGACCAATGAAATCGCGCTCACACTGGAAAAAAACACAGTGGATCTAAAGTCCAGACTCTTGAAAACATTGACAAGAAAAAATACTCTTGATTCAGTCGGATTTTTGCTTGAATCAAAACGAAATCCGCTTAAATTAAGAGGCTTGGTTCTTGATTTAAGCTAGATTCTGATTGAATCAAGAGTACTTTTTCTTGTCGATGTTTTTAGGAGTCTGGCCTCTAGATCCAATGTGTTTTTTTCTCCAGTGCATACTCCTTATGTGTTCTTTATCTATCTCTTTGTCTATATATTAACTGTAATTATATATATTAAGAGTGGTCCAACAATAGCCCCCATCGATACCCTTCCCTTTGGTTAGATCCGCACATACAGCACATGCAGTTTTACTTTAAATCCATCGAAAAAATCCTCAAGTCCCGCGGAAAGCGCGGAGTTTATCGGAAGAAACTTGGCAACGTCCTCAGGTTCGCGAGACATCTCCGTGCCCCGGTGGGAGTGAATAGCCTTCGATAATAACTCCGGGAGAGGAGTCCTTTGAGAGGGATTTGCCATATTTTTTGCCTGCGAGATTTCCAGCTGTTGACGTGTATAATACATAAAAGACCCGGTATTATGCGTGCACGCTCCTCGGGTAATACGTTTAAGACGCAAGGTGAGCGAGATTTCTCCACCGCGGGACAGGGCTGTCGGAAAAATCTATAGCTTCCGTTTCCTATGTCGTGCTGGGCCCCGGCGCGCTTTTCTCTGGCCCTGTCACCGTCCCTGTGTTTCTGTCCCGAGCATCGCCAGTCGCGACAGGGGTGGCCGTCCAAGTTCAAGCCTTGTTGTCACCTTGTGCGAAATTCGCAAATTTTCCAGCTCATGGGTGGTTTCACGATAAGTGGAATAGTTTTGTCGCCGTAACAGAAACACATTTTTCGGTCATATTTTTTAGGAGTAATGATAATCACTCGAATTTGTTTGCATTAATCTACACAGGGTTAGTGTTATAACGCTTTTCAACGATTTATCGCTCTACTTTTCAATTTTAATATATAAATGGCCAAAAATGTGCTGTCTGTTACGCTGACTTTTTACCGCGTACCGCGTTACAGTGAAAGCACAAAATATATCAGAAAAAATGGAAATGCTTTGGAAGACATTTTTGACACGGAACCACCTTATCTTTACAAAACTCACATTGTATTTTCCTTACATACATATTTTTTTTTTCATCAATCTGAATGAGAATAATCCATGTAGAGTGTGCGAACATTTCAAAATCATGAGTAGAAAAACGCTGACTCAGCGAGTTTAAATATTAGAGCCTATTCCTATCACAGAGCGGAGCGGCACGCGGCGTGCTGCCAACGCGGAACGCGCACTGGTACCTACAAACCCAAGGGGATACTTCACGCATTGCGCAACGCTTGAAGTATCCCCTTAGGTTTGTAGGCGCTGGCCGGCCGGCCGCCGCGCCACGGCGCCTCAAGCAACCATTTCTCAACAGAGTTGTTGCACAGTATCATACGAAATTGAAGGCGCTCCAACATATTAAGAACGACAGGCATTCTTTGAAAGTACGGAGCTTTCCTTGCAAAATAAATCAAGATCTTCGGCCCAAAAAGAGAGCGGTAGGTAGTCCAAAAACTCACTGAGTCCTAGCATCCGTATTTAATAACGTTTAGCATAATTTTTGAATTTCACTAGAGAAAAAAGTGACTCGATTAAGGCAGAAACATTCTTGAGTATGCCGTCAAGAAGATTTTATTTTGAATCAAGAATTGAATCGCTGAATAAAAGCGGGTTTTTGCTTGATGTAAGTGACTTTTCTTTTTACACAATCATCTTTTCTGCTCTGATCAAGCATTATTTTCTTTACTGATTCAAAAGGAAACCTTCTCGGCGGTAAATGTGATCATGTTTCTGTTTGAATCAAGTCACTTTTTCCTCCAATTTTTCTCGTGTTTACTGGTGATGGCAGGATTCCATCTGAATTCAATAAACCTCAGGTCTAAAAGACCATGTTCTTAGAGGTGGTTTCACGATAACTGGGATAGTTTTCTCGCCGTAAAAGACAACACATTTTTCGGTCATATTTTTAGTAGTAATGATAATCACCCGAATTTTTTTTGCATTAATGTACACAAAGTTGCGTGTTATAACGCTTTTCAAAGATTTATCGCTCTGCTTTTCAATTTTAATATTTGAATGACCGAAAATGTGCTGTCTGTTACGCTGACGTTTTACCGCGTAGGTAACAGACAGCACATTTTCGGAATTAACATAAATTTAATTTGGAAGTAGAGCAATAAATCATTAGAAAGCTTTATAATACGGAACCCTTTGAAGATTAATGCGAAAAAATTCGAGTGATTATCATTTCTACTAAAAATATGACCGGAAAATGTGTTGTCTGTTACGGTGACAAAATTATTCCAGTTATCGTGAAATCACCCTTTGTGGAAATTCAAAACCTGATGAGGCCATCGGGTGTGGCTGAGATTCTTCGTAGTTTGACTTAATGTTTTCATATTATAGTCGTTCCTTAAACATCCCCTATTTCTGGGAGGTCTCATCTTCTTTACATTTGTCATAGTAGGAAGTCAAAAGAAAACATTTATCACACAGATTTAATTTATACCCTGTTTAGAGCCCCATATAAGACTGCATTTTGAACAAACTTGTTCCGCGAGGAGCTCCTTTTCTTGAAATGTTTTTTATGGTTTACATTATAATTAAGGGAAATTTAAGGAGGTGCTCGAAATAGCATCATAATCATGATCAGATGATATAATGATTGGCCTTTCTCCAACTTAAATTTTAAGCCTTTACATATTGTCAGTCAAAAAACAGTCAAGTTTTTATACAACTCGAGAATGCAATTTTTGCTGAAATTTAATTTATGAATGGGTTTTACAAAATCCGAATTTGAATAAGTACTATACTTTCTATAATTTAGTTCCAGGTCCGTATCCATAGTTGTTCTTTAAATAGCTCCTTTTTTTAGGAGGCTCCACATGGTCCCCATTGTTATTAAGGGAGGTTCATGGAATCCCTGAAAAATGACATCATAAAAAGGACATTTTTGGCAACTTCAAGTAAGTCAGCAGTCTGACCCAGGAAATGAATCGGAATGATAAAATTTGGTAAATTTTTACATAGATTCAACTAACGATTTCTCTGCAAAAAAATAAAATGGCGGCGGAAATTTTGAAACATCACATGGCGATTGTGACGCTTCCGCCGGAGGGTGACAAAATCGACCACGAATATTCAAAAAAATGTATCAGAATTAATCGCAAAATCCGCCTACAGTCGAAGAATACAATCTTATTTTTTCTCGGGCGCACCCGATGCAAAAAACACATCGTCGAAGCTGCCTCTCTCGTTCCGTGGACCGTACTTTGACCGAAGTGACAGGTTGATTCACCCATGCAGACAAGGCGTTACGTTATCATGCCTCTGCCAGTGGCGCGTGGCGTGCGTTGCGATATATCGATTGAACTACCATTTAAACCTATGGAAAAGGATCGATAAAAAGGGTGCTCGCAACGAACACCTCAATGATCGATTCCTTACCATAGCTCCAAATGGGCGAATATCGATACTTCGCAAAGCACGCCACCAGTGGCGTGGCGTGCTTTGCGATATATCGATTGTCATGTCATTTAAACCTATGGAAAATGATCGATGATCAGGGTGTTCGCAGCGAACACCTTAATAATCGATTCTTTACCATTGGTTTAAATGGCAGAACAATCGATACATCGCAAAGCACGCCACGCTACTCGCATCCTCTTTTCCAGTATCGGGATGACAGTTACCGTTGTGTTTGTATCTGCCCTTGACGGTGAGACTGACTGGAACGGAGATGTAGTGTTTGGCGGTGTCACCGAGTTTGGCCTCCTCGAAGGAGTCGATGATGACGTCATTCTTGGCCGTCACGATGTTCCGCACGAGGCTCGTCACGAAGCCCCCTGACGTCATCTTGGTGCAGGAGCTCAATGAGTTCTCGTGCTGCGTTCACGAGGTCATCTGCCGGCCGGCATCTATGGAGCAACGCGTTTAGGAGGTGCTTCTTCGGTAAGGTATGGGAACTCCGCCTTTAGTCAACTTAACATTTTCGGAATGGATTTCGTTTTTAAAAAAATTTGGAGTTCATGTCGGAGAGCAAAATTTCATCAAATTTAATTTTTTTTTTTTTTTTTTTTTTTTTTTTTTTTTACAACATCCCACAAGAAATAATCTTGCGCTTCACCGTCCCTAATAAAGCCAGCCCCAAGCAGATAATTGTTGTTTAAGACCATCAAACTCGGGACACCTGCGGGTCGATTACTGAATTTGACAGACAAAGTTATAGACAAAGTTTTAGTCAGAGAAGACAAGAGGGATATAAAGGGATCCCATCAGTTGCAACTGGTGGTTCTTACAGACTGAGAAGAAAAATGATGGACAAACTGTCGGGTCGTCGGTTGCAGTTAGATAGTCCATAACCTAGCTCATTTGTCCATTACAACCAGCCGCTTCCACCGATAGGATCCCTCTATATCCCTTTTGATTTTTTTTGTCTATAGTTTTGTCTATCAATTTCAATAATTGCCCACAGGCCGATAATCGAACCTGGGACCTCCCGATCAGAGAGCAAGCGCTAAAATCGATACACCACAGGAGTTCGACAACATCACGATTAGATTATGTTATGTGGAATTCATGATTTGAATGCTGCAAATTGCAGATAATTAGCGCGATAATCATACTCTGTGACAACGGTTTTCTATCTTTTAAGCAAGCGAATCCCTTCGGTCGCAGCCTGATGACCCCCAGGATTTTTTTTTTTTTTGAGGTAGGGTTGTTTTTGGATGATTCGAAAATTTTGCGAAAAATTGTGGACTTATCCAATAAAATCCCACTCGAAGTGTACTGGGTCCATATCATTGGCGGATGCGGCAAATTAGCTACACTGTCTTCACTCAATTTAAACCCGTGGAATTTTATCGATTCTTGGAGGGGCCAGGTGCTCCCGACAAGAATCGATCAATCAGCAAAAGTTTAAATGGAGAAAATCCGGTGTTGCCAAATTGCTGGCACCCCCTCTGGTCCATTTGCACAAAACTTGATGCTCGGAATTACCGCTATCCTCGGTGACACGACAGAGAGGGGTAGAGTACCTATATTGAGAGAGTATGTCCACTGGGCCCATTAAGAGGCTTAGGACCCAAAAGTGGCGGTGCTTTGTTTTGGTTTTTGTGGATGGGGGGGTCATTGCCAACTTTTGACGGTTATCACCAACCGCACTTGCTGCCAACCTTACTACATCTAAGATAGTTTTTCTCAAAAATTGCACACGATTAGCCTTGAGAATATGTAAAGAAGTCGCAATAGTGCATTTGGGTAAATTTTTCGTTACGATAAGCAAAGAAAACTGCATTTTGAGTCATTTTGCATTACATTAATTTATGACGTCCGCCATTTTTGGGTCCTAAGGGCTCCATTTAGCCCAAGATGGCTGAGTCAATCAGAGGTGGTAACACCAGTGGCCATAATCTCTCAATATAGGTACTCTAGAGAGGGGACTCGCAGTATCCGACGTTGACTCAACGTCGACGACAACGTCACCCAGTCATTCTACGACGCTATCAGAGCACGAAGCTGTCATTGTTGTGGGCCTCCACCCCTCCCTCCCCCACCCGCAGCCACCGAGAGCAGCCCCCCTTCCCCGGCCCCCCTTCATCATGTTAAACATCATCATCACCGCCGACAAAGCACTGCACTTCGGAATGAGGAAGCGAACTGCAACTGTCGGGGGATGGGGANGGGGGGGGGGGGGGGGGGGTTCGTCAGCTGACGCGAACGGCACGTGCCGGAGGAGCGCGCATACACTTGACACAGTGCGCTCCGCGGATGTGGGTCATAAACGCGATAAGGTCGGGCCCGGCCGGTGCATCATTTCGCGTGAACTTGGAAACGCGGAAACAATGCGACGGAGGCGTGTCGCTCCCCCCTCATCCCCCCATCCCCCCGTCGCCCCCCTTGGCCGCACCGTCACACATCGTAGTCCACCCGCTGGAAACGGCGCACAGTGGATCGAGTCAATTAGAGGGGTCGGACCTAACTTCTTTGACGAAAACTGCAAATTTTGCAGTGGCGTAACAACCATACCAGCCGCCACCACCGGGCGGGGGGGCGCAGCGATGCGAGGGGCGCAAAATTTTGGGAAAAGAAAACGGGAAGAAGGAGAAAAGGAGAAAGAAAAAGAAAGAAAAGAAAGAAGGAAGAGAGGGAGAGAAAGGCAGATAAGATGAAGAAAGAGGAAAGCAAGGAGAACAAGTACTTAGCACTCCCTCGGGTGACTAAGTGTAATTTGCGACTTGAACTCTGACATGTCAACTGATATTGAACGAGAATTTGCTAGTGTTCGGTTCACATGTTTTCATACTTTTTTGGGACTTGAATTTCCTCTTCACTTTTCTTTCAATTCTCATAGCGATACCTTGATTTTCTCCCGTTTATTCAGATGTGAATGACTAGATGGGCATGGGGAGGGGGAGGGGGGAGGGTGCGCCCCTCAAAATTTCTGACATGGAAGAGCGCAGCCTCAGATCGGCGAGGGCGCGCAAAGATTTCTAGTTACGTCACTGAAATTTTGATGTTTATTTCGCCACATTTCAAACTTAAAGTGGGGCTTCCAGAAGAAGATTTCACGAGGAAACCAATAGAACCACTTTTAGAACCTGAAATGTTTGTATAAACGGAGTTCATAGCTCTTAAAGTTTCCAAATTTCATCCGACCTCTCCCATCGACTCGATCTACTGTGCGGCGAGAGCTGACTTCTAGGCCTCGGTTTGATTTTGAGGGTTTTCAGCGGAGGGATGGCAGCGTCGCGTTGATCGCATTCATTCAAGTCTTACGGCTGCGCACAGTATCGCATATCGAAGAGGAGTAGGCGTAGATGAATTGCGTAAGGTTTTCCGTATGAATCAAATTACGAGTTTGTTTTCTAAGGAATACGAGGATCGGTGCATATGCGATGCTCGTCGTCATTTACACGGATTAAGTGGATTGCACTTTGCAAAAACCATTATTTGCATATTGCAACCATATTTTGCATTCTCTTGTCTTGGAAGAGAAACCTAATCATCTACAAACAGTTTTTATTATATTCGCGAAAAACTGTGAAGTTAAGACACGAATTACCATGCATACTCTCTCAGGATTTTAATGGTTTTATTGCAAGGTTGAAGTTGCAAAATCTTAGCAACATTGCAATGTTCCTTGTTCCTTTCTGCAAAATGCAGCCCTTTTGTTTATTCGGTAATCTCACGTAACAACGTATCTTCATTTTAGTGTTGCCAAATTTCCCCTCGTCAATTGAAGCGCTGGGTGTAGAACCGGCACTACTTGGTTGCGGGTGTCTCAGAATACCCGCTTACCTTTCTTCCACTAGGTTCAAAGTAAAGGTATGTAATTCGTTAAAACTTTTACGCAACTTTCTTTATAACTTTACAGTGCTGAAAACGAATTTTTTTAGAAAATTCAACCGGTAGTTTTCTATCAAAAATATAAATTAGCAGTGGTGATTCTGAAGCACCTCAAGGAAGAGATGTAATTTCTGCACCCAACGCCTCACCTCAATTGTATTTTTATAATAAAAATCTTGGGAATTTCTAACCGATACTTTCACTGATTTTTCTACTGATCTTATGTAAAAATCAGACAAATTTTCGACAAGGACGGCACAGGTGCATTCTTGTAAAAAAAATGAATGATATGAGTCTGTTTCCCAACCTCGGGATGGAGTCATGTTCCTTCGTTCGAAAATTGACGATTTCAGAGAGTATAATCGGGTGAGGCAAAAACTAAAATCAGGGGTTTACTCTATTTTTTTGCCCAATAATGACAGATTATCAACTAATCGAGTTATAATAAAATAAAATCCACCTAATGATGACTGATGTTCTTACACCTAGTAATATCACTAATTTGTTTTTTATTTTCTCTGTGTGTTTCAGGTATCTTTCAACGGACACGAATGACCTCTCTCAAGGGTTGTCACATGGGTAAACGCAAGAATTTTTTCTTTTAAAAACTCAGGGTTCAGTGGTCAAAGCTTCTCTGAAATCCAGATTACTCCTTCTTAGTCTCTATTTCACGCAAAACTCGACGACGAACATCCTTTTGAGTGGTCCCTGCCATTGGCAATGAAGACCCTGCTTCAACTATCTTAGCAATGTAATCGGGCGAATTTCGTTTAATGGTGGTTAATAACTCATATTAGGCAACGTTTCGGGCACAAAATCAAATAAAACCCGCCTAATTGTGACCAATTTATGTCGGACCTAACACTTTGCTAGGCGAGTTTTGCAAATTAGGCTGTGATTTATCCACCAATGAACTGCATTTTGCAATTAGGAACTACAATTTCCGTCTAGGATTAGAAACAACGTAGTTTCATCATGTTTATAAGTGTTTTTACGGATGAGCACGAAATTGCAGTTCCCAGCAAACTGAAGTCCAATTGCTCGGACCTTTCGTAAAAAGTCATCATTAGGAGAATTTGAGCGCTGAGCTGCCCCCCGAAAGGAACAGTTTCTCTTATATGACGCCACACCGACATCATGATTTATAAATTTTGAATCGCCATCATAAAACGTATTGAAATCGATCGGCATTATCGTCACAACATGACACCACGCCCGTGACTTCATACTGGGCAAAATAACGCCAAACTTTGCTGAAAATTTGCCCGAAGTAGCTCTCTATTGATTGTAATAGAGTCAGGCAAAAAAGTCCACAAGGTGAGGTAAAAATAGATGAGATTATCTATCTATAGCTCAATAGGGTCAATTTTGCATCATTTGGTGCAGAGAACGCCCAAAAATTTAAAAAATTGGCCACTTGAGATCACTTTGAAGGTGGAAAATGGTACAGCGGGCATTCGAGAAATCGTTGATAAATTTTGCCTGCGTTATTGCAAATAAGTACCGAAAAATTAGAGATAGAACCATGAGGGGGCTCCTCAGTTTAAGCGCAGTTCATTGGTTCCATCGATAGATTTCTAATACTTGAATTTTTGTGGGCATTATTTCGAAAACGTCAAAAGATGCACTTTCAACTTTCTTTTGCCCGACTCCATCAAAATTGGACTTCATTTTGCAATTGGAAACCGCAATTTCCGGATCCTCCGTAAAAACACCCATGTGCGTAGATAAATTAATGGTACGTTGTTTCTAAACTGAGCCAGCATTTTTAGTTCCTAATTGGACGCATTTCTGTCAAACAGAACTTTAGACGGGGTGTGCTCCAGAAAGCTGCATCAGAAACAATGGTAAAATGATTCCCTTTGAGGAATGGAAAAGCGAGATTTCACATTCTGTCAATCGGAACTAAGTGCCATCTGAATGCGGCACTCATGAGCCGTGGGCATGGCAAAAGAGCGTTGTCAGCAGGGCTCATGAGTTAATGCCGAATAGGGGCGATAACGGATACGACTTCGTTGCTGCTGACGTCACTGGCGCTTTATAATTCCCATTCATTCTTACGGCCCTTGACTAAAGGGCACACCCCTTCTTTCCCACCTATATCTGGTTCCGTTTGGTAGAAATACGTCCAATTCGTCGCTCCCCTCACGAAGAAACGTAACTACATTTCAATGTTGCCAAATGTCTTCTAGCGTATTGCATTCTTACATGGGGACTTTTGGGCACTTCCGACCGAAAATTTCACTGATTTTGCCTATGATATAATGCGAAAATCAGAGAAATTTTGGGGGAAATTTTTTAAGGTACATTTTTGCAAAAAATTGAATGGAGATGTTGCATGTGTGAAGAATTTGCGATTTGACTATTGATCCTTATGTTAGAGTTCAAGAGAAACACGATGGTGCCACTGGTTTTCTCTGAAATCAACTTCCAAGCTCAAAAAAAGCTCTCAAGTTGAGGCCAAAATGAAGGGGATATCCCACGCTACCCTGAGAGTCCACATCTACATCAAGACAAACTCTCCATGCAAAGATAGGGAGAAAATACATTATCAGGGTTGCCGTGATTTCAGTTTTAGTGTCCCCTAATAAGGTGGCAGCCCTGTCAATGTATTTGCTCCCTATCTTCGCAGGGAGAGTTTGTCTTGATGTAGAGGTGAACTCTCAGGGTAGCGTGGGATATCCCTCCATTTTGGCCTCAACTTGAGAGCTTTTTTTGCGCTTGGGAGTTGATTTCAGAGAAATCCAGAGGCACCATCGTGTTTCTCGCGAACTTTTACATAAGAATGAACAGTCAAATCGCAAATTCCTCACACATGCAACATCTCCATTGTTTGAGTCAATTTTGCAACCTTGAAATGGAGGTACGTTTCTTCGTCCGGAAAACGACGAATTGTAAAAAGGCCGACTGATTTAGCATAAAACCCCGCCGAAAGAAGCACCTCATAAGCGTTTGCAACGTGTGTGTGTGTGTGGGGGGGGGGTTCACTTTCACTTCCACTTGCCGCGATCGGACTCGGGCGAAAGCACGAGGGTGCACTCGCAATTTTCGCGCTTTGGCGGGCTTTTCAGGACCGGCTCCGCATCCGGGCCGAGATGCAACGAGGAACTGAAATGCACTTGTGCACTTATCTGCAGTTGCATAAAATTCAAGGTCCCTTCGCGTGGCGGCCAAGGTCCCCGCGGTGTTGCCCCCTTGTTGCGACGCGATCATCGATTCGTCGATTATAAATAGAGGGCTCACGGTCAGGGGCGTGTTGTCACATGGCGACGCAAAATGCAGTCGTCCGTATCGGTGGGTCAGAGACGAAGAGAGACCCCATCGCTATCTTGGCAATGGTGGAAGCTTTTATGGGTCACTAAACCATAAGCGGATTTTGACTTGCGAATACATTTCGGCTGTACGTTAATGACGCGTAGAGCACGATGTGCACACTACAAAAGCGAAAAAGTAACTCAGGAGCTGAAAGATGCGTAGTCTGAAAAGCGAACATTTTTCGCAAATGAGTCAGTTGCACTGGTCACATAATCATGCTTTGATGCTTGATTCCTGTATATACGCTAAAAATAATAAGATCTGTCCAAACTGCGACTTTCTACGTTCAATATTGACCGAAATACCGTCATTTAAAAAGTCGGGGTTTTGACGTCATCCACCGCGGTAGTGACACCCTTGGTTTCTTCCACCTTGCTTTCAGCAGTCAGTGAGACGCACATTTGCACTGGCTACTCAACGGAAAATTCAGATGCAAGCAAGGAGGACAAAACTAAGGTTGTCACTACCGTCGTGGATGACCTCAAAACCGCAGCTTCTCAAAGGGTCTCAAACCGTCATCCATCTCGATAGTACATACCATGTTTAACACTACCGTAGTGGGTGACGTCAAAAACCCGACTTTTCAAAAAACGATATCTCGGTTAATATTGAACGTAGAAAGCTGCTGTCTTGACCGATCTTATGATTTTTATCTAATCTACAAGAATTAAGCATCAAAACACGATTCTGCGACCAGCGCAATTGACCCATTCAAAACGCCCAGGTTTCGCGCCGAACCGAAAGATGTCATCCGGCATCAATCAGCAGCGAGCAAAGGTCTCTACGACTTCCGTGACACATCTTTCGACACCTCGAAGCAATAGAGACGTCGGAACAATATCTTCAAAATCAAAGAAGCGAATCTCATGGATGTTGCCGGTCTGTTGTGAATACAAGAAACAATTCCACGTTAAAATAAGTTTTATTGTAACAAACATCGGTAAGAAATGAGAGGAGATACCGATTTGATTGCCGCATAGTGCTTCACTTCTATCCTCTTCCCGCTATACCGACGATTTTGACATTACTCCTTTACTTTCAGAGTATTAAATAAAAAATGCAAGGTTCAGCGACCCATTTCGGGACTCCAGTATTCAACTGTCGACCTCCTACTAGGTGGGTGTCATAAAACGTATTTCCTTTTGCAAACATAGCAACGTTTGGCGAACTTGTTTTGCTCATCACGTCACCCGAAACTTATCATTCACCTTGTACGTATAGGTCAACAGCCGATGAAATGTTTATGCTTATTATTTTCCTAATTGTCAATTAGGAGGTGTTGAATTACCGAAAGGGGTTAACATTCAACTTACAGTGTGGAAATTAATGTACTCGTTTTCCAGCTGGAACAAAACATATCACTCTCGAAATGCACTTCAGAGAGTACTTGATTCTCTTAAAAATATGTTCATGCTCAAATAATGTAGGATTTCTCTGACGATTTGGCAAATGTAAAAAAAAGGCGCACGTGGCTGACTTTGACAGTAGTGTATATATAGGGATATACCGCCAAATTTGACCTTTAAGACGACACCTACGTGACCCCGGTGTGAGATCACTGGGAATCGGTGTGACGTCACTGGCGACTGGTTGCGGGTTGCTTACCTATCGTTACCAGTGGTGTAAAATTGTGCAGAAAAATCGGAATTAATTTTCGGCGAGGGCTGGGGTATAGTGTATGCTTTTGCAACCATGGTGTGACGTCACTAGCGTAGACTGTATCGTTACCAGTGTTGTAAAATCGTGCAGAAAAATCTGATTTAACCGGGAAGGGGCGTGGGCCACTTGAGAGTTGACTGCTTAATTGATCCGGCATGCCTGTCAGGGGCGACGGGTAAGTTTATTCGTTACCAGTGTTGTGAATAAAATGTCAGCCGTCTTTTCATGCTGTGACGATACCAACCAACGTTGAGAAATTGAGCGGGAAAATTTGAATTAATGACGGGCATTGCTACGGAACATGGTAACAATGTTGTAAAATTGAGCGGGAAAATATGATTTAACCCCGGGTTGGGTATGGATTAGTGTACGGTGTATGGCATCCGTGTTTACTGTTGCGGGTTGCCTAAACGTGAAGGGGCTACCATTAGCTTTTTTAAACCACAACCGTTTAATCCTTATGGGCTACCTACCCACCCGAGCGAAGCATGATGTGTTAGAGTCAACAATTTGCCTGTGAATTAGGCGGGAAATTTGAAGGAGCAGACGTTGCAAAAAATCTGCAAAAACCTATCTTCACAGGGTTTTTCATGTGCCATGAGTCCTTTACCGTGACGATATCTGCTCTATTAGCAATCATACACAGTACAACCATTCGGGTAAATACGTTTGACCAATGACCTGCATCATTTTACGTGACGTCATGTGAAGCATCCATTATGTGTCGTCACCCCACCCAGCTAGCGACCTTACCCGCTCTACTAGGAATTATACACAGGAGGAGGACCGAGGTTCTCCCATAAATTCGTAGCGGGTTGCCTATCCATCCGGGGGAATACGATTGAGTGTCATCACTCTAAGCATCCATTCTATGACGTCACCCTGTTGTATACCACAGTATCAACGTTGTATGATCGGAAAAAAGTTATACCATGCTATACGTGAGATGATAGAAAATTCGGGTGTAAGTATCGACAGCGGTGACTAGAGGGGCTAATGAGTCGAACTCTAGATGCGACAAGTACAATGCTCTCATCGCGGAGATGTGCGTATGTCTGCGGTTCGATTGTTGATTCGTTATCGAAAGACCTTGTTCGATAAAAAGCATTGCCGAGATAGGGATTCATCGATCGAGTTCTCTCGATAACGATTCATCAATCGACCCGGTCGCGCGACTGCGCGAGCTCCCACTCAAGGTCGCCCAGTTCTCGCTACTCATTTTCCTGTTAGAGTGTCATTCGGAAACCACACATGTTCCACACAAACTACTCATTCACTTAGCTCCTTTCACCATACATATAACTGATGAAAAATCACGAATGACTCTGGAAAGTATCACTACTTATACGGGGTTTTCGCGGTAACTCACATTCGATAATCTCCAAATATCCGTTCCCGGCGATGCCATCCTTCGACAAGTTTCAACTTGTCTCGATCAACTTCCCTATAATATATTTCTGATTTCCACGGCTTGGCAATAGCCGAGGACCTGCGGTCCCGCTCATTTAAACGCGTGGTGCTGGTGCGGGTGTGAAAGCCATCAATAATTTTCGATTATTTAAACGGTGATGTTTCTAGTCAGTTGTCGACCATCATCCTCATCTAAATCGATATGATCCGTTTTGAATTTGGAAAATGAGTCATTTTTCCTTTCTTTTTGAGACAAGTGAAACACTGATGGGGTATGAACCACGACGGGATGTGCAAATTCTCATTCCTTGATTGCTCACGGGGAACACCGGTATAGACAAATGATGTTTCAGTATCATGAGCCTTGGCTGCATTGGCTAGAGGAATCGATGGAGCTCGGATGAGGGGGGAGAAAAAAAACAAGAAGAGATTCGTTTATCACATACAGCGGATTTATTGATATAAAAAGGAACATGAGTATTGTATATTTGCCACACACACAGACACTTTCATACTGTGTTATGAACCGTCGAGATCATGATGGCTCAAATTGAAACCGTGTTTTATACTCATCACTTTCCTAACGATTAAATGACGACACTGGTTTTTCAATTCGCAAAGAGCATAGGGAAAAACCATCATCGGAAAAGTCTTAACATCAAACGAGCCAGGGTCTAAAGCGCTCACAAAATTTGAAATTGAAGCGTTGTCCAAATACTGACATTTTCTTAATACTAAATCACAAGTTTCGGAAAAAAGTTTTTGAAATTTTTGCTGATTGTCAACAGCTTTGTCCACTACTGCGCTAATCGATGGAGCGAGTTTCTTCAATTCTTTCCACGCCTTCTCTTGAAGCGCTATTTCTCTCGCACACTTACGATGAGATGAATTTTTCTGACCGAGTACAAGACTTTTCCGTCCCAGAATCCTGCCAAACTTCAAAAATCTTGATACGGTCCCGAGATAGCGTGTCTCCCCAAAGTCGCTGTCCCCCTCAAAATACGCATCGATGTCTTTGTCCCAGCGTGTAAGCTCTCTCCACTCGCTCGGCTTAAGGGCGACCATGTTTTGAACTGTAGCGTAATCGTAAAATTTGATGATCGGAGTAAACTGTTCATTACAACTGTAACCGATCACTATCTGCTGTTCACCGTTCGGGGTCAGGAAAAAAGACGAGTTTCCCATCGTTTTCGATACGATAGGACCTCTGCACACACCACGACCGGGTTTTATCGGAGGCATGCTCGAAATTTGATAACAAATCACTTCGACCGAGCCGAGCTGACAGCAAAAGCGGACCACACCGACGAAAAAACGAACAGAAAATGGTCGCTGGTGTGTAAAAATCCACGGTAAGAAGACATCGTGATCCAGGAGGAGGAGGAAGAGAAGGAGGAGGAGGAGGAGGAGAGGGGTCTGCAACACGCATTTAAAACGTATCAGATCGAGTATCCACTCAAATGAAGGCGCCCTCGTCCCGAGTCGCTGACATTCAAAGCCTCAGTGTCAAGGTATGATCATCGAGTATCGATTTTATCCCATTTGAACCTATGATAAAGAATCGATTATGCACATGGTGCTCGTTACGATCGATATTTTTCAAAGGTTTAAACGGCATAGCAATCGATACATCGCAAAGCATGCCAGGACACTGGAAACCGTATGTATGTATAACCCGCTTTCACGGTGCACTAAGGCGCTCTGCGACGCCCACTCTCCACAGCAATCTGTCATGG